CAGGGTGGCCGCGCTGCTCGGGGCGGCCATGCTGGACACAGGAGCCGACTCCGCGGGGCTGAGACCGGCGCCGGCCGCTGCCCTCCAGCAGAAGAAGCGACCTTTCCGCCAGAAGAGAAGCTGGCCGGGGGCGGGGCGCCGGCCTCCTTGCCTCCGGTCCCGCCGGCCTCTGAACTGAGCATGCGCCGACGGCGGGGGGCGGGGCGCCGGGCTCCCCTCTGGTCCCGGCCGACCTCTGTTCTGAGCATGCGCGGACTGGGTGGGGCGGAGCCTCGGACTCCGCTCCAGTTACCTGCTTCTGTTCTGAACATGCGTAGAAGGCGGGGGCGGGGCGCCGGCCTCCTCTCCTGTCCCGGCCTCTGTTATGAGCATGCGCAGACTTGGGGGCGGGGAATGCTCCTTTCCTACAGCTCCTCTATTGTGGGCATGTGCAGAGTGGGGCCCTTGCGGAAAGTGCCAGAATTGCGTACTTCCTTTGTGGTGAGGCTGGGGGGCCTTGGCCGCCCATCTGCCTTGGAAAACCTGTTGTTAGGTTCCATCAGGTTGAGTACGGCTCATACCAACCCTATGAGCAGCTAACTTAAACCCTGTACTAATCCTGTGCCATCCTAGTAAACTAAGACACACTAGGGTCCATTCCTGAAACTACTGTGTCAAATCTGTCATTTGGAGGGGGTCTTCTCCTTCCTGACCGTCCATCTTTCCAAGTATGATGTCCCTTTCCAAGAAGTAACCTGGCAGGGCTAAACGTCCAAAGTGTGAAAGACAAGTTTTGCTATTCTTTCCTTCAGAGATCTCTTGTGGCTCCATTTTTCCCCCCAAGACATGTTTGTTATTTTGGCAGTGCATGGGATATTCAGCATTTTTCTCCAACACTGCAACTCAAAGACATTAATTCTTTTTTGCATCTAGCTTTCTGATGCATAGCAAGTGATTGAGAAGACCATGGCCTGAATCAGGCACACCTTAGTCTTCAAACTAACATTGCTCCTCAGCCTTCTGCAGCAGTCCCAGACAGTGGACTTACCCAATGCAATGTTGTTATATGCCCTCAAGTCACCTGCAACTCATAGTAAACCTATGTACAACAGCTCTGAAGCCTGCCCTGCCCTGAGCCAGTCTCAATTGACTCCAACACACCTACCCTCATTTCCCCGGTTACTTTATCTATCCAGCTCATTCAGGGTCTTCCTCTCCTCCACTGTCCCTCCACTCTTCTGAGCATGATAATATCCTTCTCCAAGGATTGGTCCCTTCTGGCCATGTGCCCAAAGTGTGTGAGACGGAGCTTTAAAATCTTAGCCTTCAGCAAGAAACTAGGTTTAACCCTCACCAAGACAGACCTATTTGTTCTCCTGGTGGTGCATGGTATGTTCCATGCTCTTTTCCAGCACCACAACTCAAAGACATCAATTCTTCTGTCATCCTTAGTCATTGTCCAGCTCTCTGTGACATAGCAAGTAACTGCAAAGACCGTGGCCTGAATTAGGCACACCTTAGTCTCTAGACTGACATCATTGCTCTTGAGCATTCTGGAGAGGTCCCTGACAACAGATTTTCACAAAACAATTCATCTCTTGATATCCTGACTGCTGGTGCCAAGAGTGTTGAGTGAAGTTGAGCAAGCTATATTTATTTACAACCTCAATCTCTTCTCTGTGTATTGTGGTACTGCCAATCTGCCCAGTGGTAAGAATCTTTATTTTCTTGATGTTGAGCATCAATCCATATTGAAGATTACAGTCCTTGACCTTCTGCAGCAAGCGCTTCAGGTCCTCCTTAGTTTCAGCAAGCAAGGTTGTATCATCTGCATAAAGTAGGTTGTTGATGAGTCTTCCTCCAGTCTTGGTACAACATTCCTCCTCAGAAAGCCCACCTTCCCTAAGGATCTGTTCTGCATATATAAATTATATATAAATTGAAAAGGTATGGAGACAGCACTCATCCCTCAGGCACTCTTTTCCTGATTTTGAGCCATGCAGTAATTCCTTGCTCTATTCTGCTGATTTCCTGAGTGGTACCAAGCATGTTGATTTTTTTATCCAAGCAAGATGACAGCGTTGACAGCTTCAATCCTTTCTCCATCTATCACAATGTTGATCCTGTAATAAGGACCTTTGTTTTCTTGATGTTAAGATGCAAGGCTGTAGTCCTTGGTTTTTTTTCAACAAGCATTGCATGTCCTCTTCACCTTGAGCAAAGTCATGTCATCTGCATAATGCAGGTTGTTGAGTCTTCCTCCAATCCCGATGCCACATTCTTCCTCATAGAGTCTGGTTTTGAGAAATATTTGTTCAGCGTAGAGATTGTGTAAGTATACAAAAGAATACAACTCTGACGCACACCCTTCCTGACTACACATGGACCTCATCTAATGGATTGCACAGGAATCAAGTTGACTATATTTGCAGAAAGAATCTTTGGAGAAGCACAGTATCTGTAGTCAAAACCAGACAAAGTACTAACTGTGAAACCATTACCAACAGTTACTCATGTGCAAGTTCAAAATTAAGCTGAAGAAAATGAAAACTAGTCCACAGAAATCAAAATACAACCTTGAGTCTATCCCAGTTCAATTTAAGAATCATATCTAGAGGAGTTTCGAGGCTTTAAACACCAGTGACAGAAGACCAGGGGAACCTTAAAGTTGGAATTTTAATTAGGAGGTGGTGGTGGGGAGAGTGTGAACGCTGAGAGAGTAGGTGAAAAACTGAAATATCGGAACTTTGCTTTCAATTTTGTATGGTAAATGTGGCGGACTCTGAACATATAATTTGGAGGGAGTCTTGTTCACTCTTCTGTGAAGGATCCTTGAGGTGATGATGCCTGGCGGACTGGACTTTTGGGGACACATGTCAGTAGCGAGAGAATTGGGCTGCAGGTTCCCTGTGAGCAGCTCACAAAAGTGGATTGAATGCTATTTCTCAAGAGTGTTGTGAAGAGAACCTGTTTCCAAAATAGTGCATCTGTCTTTAAACTGTTTTCAAAGCCTTTTTGTGAACTGAGTGTGTTTTGTTAAAACAAACAAAACACTATCCATCTTTAAAATAATGAATCCCTCTGAATGATTATTATTCCCCCTCTACTTTTTTAAAAAAAATGTGTTTTAGGTGAAAGTTTGCACAACACTGATTGGCATGTAACAATTTTTATGGAAATTGGGTAGTAACATTGGTTTCTGTTTTCACAGTGTGTCAGGCTTATTCTCATTCTGGCTGATTGTTTTGATGTATCTTCCTCTCCCTTCCCCTCTTTATCTTCCTCTTTTTGCTTTTGGGTTGACCAGTTGATGTCATGGTTAGTTACTGAAAGAAGCACATTACTTGCAGATGATAAAACAGTATCCAACATCTACCATTTGGTTGAAAGGTGGCTTCCAAAAATAGATTCCGTTCCAAGTTCAAGGGATATTTTAGAGCAATGGAAGGAGGGTTTCCGGTAGTGTCTGTGGACCCTGTGTCCTTTTTTAGGCACTTGTGTTCCACTTTTCTTTTGACTTTTCTGTGTGTCTGGTGGTGGGATCTGAGCCTCATGCTTCTCTGGCTGGAGCGGACTGTGTTTCTTGGGAAGCGTTGGGCTTGTGCTCTACTTTTCCTTTGATCCTTTGCTTTCCTTTCTTTTTGTTCAGCTGAATAGAAACCAATAGTTTTATGTGATGGCCAGTCGGCAAGCATGTAAGGCTCTGGACACTGCTTTTCCAGCAAGGCTCTAGAACAGTTTGGTTGTGAACTACACTGTCACTTAATGAGATGTCTATGAGACTCTTCACCCTGAAAGCCATCCTGTGAGCTCTTTGTGTCTAAGGTGTCTATGTGACAGAGGTAACTTGTGGTTGCTGTGATGCTAAACACGGTGACACTGATGTGTCAAATGCGAAGATGGTTACCCATGGTGGACAGTGTTTGGCGAAACTCCCCAATTGAAACAGGCTTAAAAGCAGGAGTGGCATGCATTTCCAAAACAGCTGCCTCCAGAAACTTTATTAACTTAGAGAAACTATGAAAGTTTTACAAGTGTTCAGCTCTTTCATTCACAGGGTCACTATGAGTCGTCTACGACTTGACAGCAACAAGGTGTTTATGTAGTGCTCATGCAGTCTGTTAGGTGGAGGCATGAAAGCCTCACACATGGATGTGTTTGCATGTGTCGACAGATACACCTGTACGTGTATGTTTATTTGCTGGCCTCCACATGCACACTATGTGCATCTGTACCCATGCACCTGCTCAGTTTGCCCTTGTAACAGTCACAGTCTTGGGAACTTGATGGTCAAGTCCAGCTTTGTGCTCTGAAACATTAAGTAGGAATCTACTCAATGGCTCAGTTGGTTTAGTCCCTGCAGGAGCAGATCACCTTCTCCTATGGAACTGCTGGTGGCTTTGAACCACCAATCATTTGGTCAGAAGCCAAATATCTGGCCATCTGGACTTCTTCTGTAGTGGAAGACTCTATACCAATGAGAGAGTTCTAGTGACATAGTTCATGTTGTTGCTGTTGTTGTTAAGTGCCGTCGAGTCACAGGCAACTCATAGCGACCGAATGAAGTCCTGGACACCTCCTGTATAACTTTCATCCTTTCTCCAGGTTTATAGGGTTTCCAGAGGCAAGCTATTGTGGAAGTGGATGCCACTTCCAAGCTTGTTTTAATTGGGGAGCTTTGCCAAACACTGTCCACAATGGGTAATAGTATTCGGCTTCACAGCAACCACGAGTTACCTCTGTACAGCAGTGGACATACCAGGGTTACACAATCTTTGTCAGTTCAAATCTATCAATGGATCTTCAATACAAAGATGGGAAGTTTCCTCCCATGTCATTTACAGTCTCTAAAAGAAACCCCACTGCACAGTCAGCTATAAGGCAGTTCTGATTTGATTGCAATGAGTGTGAGTTTGAGTTTGAAATACCAATGAGAATGTATGGGCTTTTGGACAAAGAACAATGTAGATGCATGAGGAAAATAGGCTGTTAAGTGAAATAGAACAGAACAATGACACTGACAACTGCTGTAAGAGCAAGGAGTGCTTGGGGATGGCCCTACCTGACCCCTACCAACTCCATGAGGGGGACTGCCCACACCAACATCCACAGCACAAACCGACTCCTGTGGGGTCAGACATGTGCCCCATGTTCCTGCCCCCATTTTTAGTAATTGCTACACCAATTTTACTGCTTCACTGGATCGCAAATCTGTTGTAATAGCTCACAGAGCACTTAAAGCCATACTCACAAATACCAGGCTTATTAG